CTACAAAGAGAATAAATACTCCAGCTAGGAGGGAATGCATTCTGTAGGTATTTGGAAACAATTCAAAAAAATGGTCTTGAGAAAGACAACAGGAAACCTCTATATGTTACATCCCAAAAGAAAGGGCATGGAACGACTCGGAAGGGGAGAGGCCAATTATTTCATTAACACTTTTCGAGAATAACAGTAAGATTTTTTTCCAGAACAAAGTGATTGATGTCTCCCAGCAAGCTGTGCCAGTTCCATGTACCTGGTACTCTAACAAAACTAAAATTCAGCTAGGGACACACGCAAAAACTAAAGCAGAGCTTTAGAGACACACGACTGATTTGAAACATAAACCACCACCAAGTAATTACCTAATTAGTAGAATACAAACAACTTTCAAGCATAAATAGTTCTAGCAATTCACTTTGATAACTTCAAAGCAAAAAACAACCAAAAGTCCACTTACCTTTTGACTACTACAGAAAGTTTAATTAATTCCAATTTATCCATTTGTTCCCAGATGTTTTGAATTTAAACTGATTTTTCCTTCTAAGGCAGAAGCTGTATCATGAGAACATCAGATAAAACTTTTCTCAAACCCTCTTGGGTTTGGGAAAGTCACAGTTTACATGAGTAATACATGACTTGAATCCATGAATTCCCCATTTTGTAAAGGTATGCCTGTTACTACTTACACAGGAAATAAAGAGATAGTGACATTTTTATATTTATCTTTGAAAACTTCATTGAAATCTTACAATTTTGAAGCTAATTAGGTTTGTTTGCTTTGTTTTATTAGAAAAAATACTCAGGCAAGGTCTACAATCATCTGTCAATTATAAATGACTTACAAGAAACTCATGAAGCAATAAAATTAAAAAAATACAAATACAAACTATATCTGAAACTTCTATTTGGCAATTTTATAACAAATCCAAAAAAAGAAACAAAGATTACGGATTACTTTATAGGTACAGAAAAAGCAGTAGGTGAAGTGCTCAAGCGAAAAAAAAAAAAAAAAAACCAAAACACTGCATTTTTTCAAAAATAAAGTCACATCACTACAGATTTTATGAATAATACCCTTATTAAACAACCATTCCAGAACATCTTATATTAGTGGTGCTTTTAATCTGCACTTCATTTCGTTTGATAAGATTTTTTTTTTGTGTATATAAGTAAAATTTTTAACCCACTGGAGCTAAGCAAGACTCTCGTGTCAGTACCAATGCAGAATGCATTCGTATTACATTAGGATATGCTCACTTCTGCAACCAAAGGGTTACTTTAAGTTTTATTCTATTTAATAAAAATTTAGTGTAAAAACTGCTGGTTATTAGTTTCACTGTAGTAAATTCCTCCCCAATAAGGAGGACTAACTCTGCAGTTTGACTGCATATATCCATACAAATTTTACATATTAGTTCCTTCCAATAGTAAGGAAAAAACTAATTTCACGTTCACTATTAGAAAGGAGCGCCATGAATTAATTATGGGTACTATTCATCCCTCTAAGATTTCTGGGAAGGATGTTCAATGTATTTTTGTTCTTACAACAGATATTAACAGTAGTATATAGTCCCTTAGGTATGTAAAAGAAGGGTTTTTTTATTGTTAAGGAAGGTGCTTTTTTTAAACAATTCTTCTGGCAGCACTAGTGAATTACAATATCCTTCAATATTATTTCTACCGTAATATATACATTTTAACTTTCATGCCTCTAGAAAAACATCTACAGTACATTTCATAATATAAAAATATATTACAAATCTGCTGAAATATTTACAAGCAACGTCCTATTATCTATATGCAACATTTTTGTCTCCATACAAAGACTAACAGGTTAGACACATCTCTATTTGTCAGTTAAAAAAATCCATGGCTTCTTGCTTATTAAGCAAGAAAATGATTTTACTTTCCTTTTCAAAGCCAACTTTGGTGCATAAAGGATTGAATTTCTAGATTTTTTTTTTTTAAAAAATACCATTTTCTTTACATCTAGAAAACATTAGGCCAAATAAAAAAGTGTACTTTACAAGTGAATGGGGATCCTAAAGGGTAAAAAAGCAAAATAAAACACCAGTAACACTAACTGCTTAAGTAGAGGTTTTTCAAAAACCGTCCATTGATACAGATCACATAGAAGCAGATCTCATTAACATACTATACTAGTCCTGAAAAGGGGGTCAGACATACTGCAACACTCTTAACATCTTTAAACCGTACTATATGTATTCAGAGTTGACTGGAAAAGACAAGCATTCCATCAACATTTGTTTAAACATTATAATCCAACATATTTTAGGGATCTGCAAAAGGACACGCGATTACAAATGACGAACGATTACTATCCACCATACTCAAAGGGCAACAGGATAATCCCTCGGTAGCTGTTCTATTGTCTGGCATGTGTTATATTTAGTTAATATTGACAAGAAGCCTAATAGCTTGTTAACAGTTCTCCTGGGAGTTGCAAGTAAATGGTGATGGTTACTTTTTCTTTTCATCAAATATAAACTACTGTATTCACTAAAGAAAAAAGCAGCTTAAAGAAGCAAGCATGCAAAGCCTTTTAGTTGTTCCACTAAGTTGCCAGAAGAGTGTTTGCTCAGTCTCCCACTGTACCATTCCATGAAAATGTGGATATACAGTAATATATTAATATATTCCACGGAAGCATCAACTTCATTCACAGAATGTTTACACTAAGCATAAATATTTATCTAAGAAAAAAAAAAAAAAAGGATGGGATTTGACTAATGTGCAACTTTACTTCTAAATCCATTGTCAGTGACTAAGACTGCAGGTGTCCCCACTTGCTTGACTTTTACCTCTTCAACCTCTTCTGGGGCATTGTTCTGTAAAAGAAGATAGGACAGTTTTACATAAAGACTCTGAGATGTAAATTTGATTCAGCTAGAGTATACTACGAAAACCTGACTATATAAAATCTACTTTCATTTAATTTGATTAAAACTGAAAGCCATTTTAGATGATCCCATATTAGCGTACATTTCAAGTAATTATTTCAACTTTCTATTGGAGTCATCATTTTAGCATGATATTAATAGTTGTCACTTAATTCCCTTAATCACTTTTTTCCCTTGCAAAGCCTTGGTCTTCAACTTTATTTCTTTGCTCTCCCACAGTTGGTCCCCTAGGTCTTTTTAATCACACACTGATCTATACTGCTAAAAAAAATTCACACATTATGTTAGGGGACCTTAATTTTATTTGAGAGAGGTAGGATGGGTTGCTCATTTTTCTCCAAGGACTTAATCCCGAAGATCATTACAGTTTTATTTTAAAAGGTTACTTTTTTGTTTTCAAATCAAAATAATCTATCAAGTTCTGCAAAGGTAATCAAATATAAAGATGATTAACACCTAAATTAGCTTATAAAACAGTCACTGTGTTAAGCAGTTTTAAAACACACAATCCAATTTCTTCATAACATTTTTATGATTTACTGTTAACATCAGTAATTCATATAGTATAGTAAGTATTTTAAATACTTACATTTACAAAGATAGCAGATATAGTATGATGATTTATTTTCATATTGTAAAGCAAATTTTCATTAATTTGATTAGTGAAATACATTAAATATTAAAGGTGAACTGAAAGGCTTATCGCATATCAAGACCTCAGATTAGTGTTCTAGTTACTCCTTTAGACACTCAGTCACTGGATGTTAAGGAAGAAACATAGGAACACTGAACTTCTGTTATGGCAGAAAAAGCTTTTTTTTTTGGACCCATTTTCATGAATTTTTAATACAAGCCCATAAATACGTATTTTAGAGTGTTCAAAAGCTTAAGAGTGAATTAAGCATTTCAGATTACCTTTAAAAACTGTACACACAGAGAACTGTGGGTACTGACAATTATGTGAGCACACTAATAAAGAGAGGGGGGAAAAAAATCAGGAAATTATTAGAAACAAGATGGATTAGAAGCCAATCTGAAGTCCTAAAAACACAAATGTGAATGCAGCTTAAAGACAAGTAACATGTACTGTCCCCTTCTGTCCCCCTCTAAAGAATCTTGTATTAAAAAATAACAGTACTTGTATACAAGTACAGATTTCAAGGTAATACTGCATGTATTACAGTTGAATATAAAATATGTAAAGATAAATTTGGACTTTAAAAAAATTGGTATACAAACCAGTATGTGATCTTAACAGAAGTGATCTTTCAGGATTCCACTGTATGTACCTCCTTTACTAGAATTTCTGTACACCAAGCACAAAAAAGTAAAATACACTTGGTAAATACACACATTCCCCGTTTCTCAGTAACTAGAGTTCAGTTCAAGAAGTTAAGTAATTCTGAAACAGCTTAAGACCTCAGAACTTAACTCCTGGACGCTGACAGAATCAAGGCTCCCTGGTCTGATGTATAATGCATTAGTAATCCTGATTTTCCAACGTCAAAAAGTTAAGTGAGGCTTAAGACTATGTTTAAGAAAAGAAAGTTTCAAAATTAGGATGTTACCTGTATATGTTTGGGTCCAGAAGCAAGGCAGTATCTTTTGGTAGTTTTGATAAATGAACTACTTTAGTTTTTAACTGATGTCGCTCACTTTCATTTACCCACACATCAGGCAGACTATGAATAAATAAATAAAATAAAAATATTCAAAAAAGATCAACTGTTTTTCTTACCATAAAATTATGCGGTAAACTAGTACATATGAAGTTTTTTAAAGTAATCTTCACATTTCACTGGTTAAAAACCATCTTCACTGGAGTGAGGAAAAGACAGCCAATCTTTACACATTATACTTCAAATTTTTCAAGTTCTCAGTATGAAAAAGAAACTAAATATAATCTACATTATTCCAGAAGAATACTAAACCAAATATACAATGATAATGGCACTACATTCTTAAGTTTAACAACTTAATGTGAAAATGAGTAGCAGGAAAGAAAAAAAAAAAAAAAAAAACCACAGATCTTTGAAAATTCTTTATTTTACTAGGCAAAAAATCTTTGATGTTGTCAAAAAAGTAAGTAAAGGCCAGAACATACTGCAGGCACTGAGCTTCAAGTTATACTAATTGGCTTGCTCCAAGTTCAAAGCTTTCAATGTCAAAATGCTCCAACTTCGCTAAAGTTAATACTTTTATTATCTTCTGAAAAAAAACAGGCAATCACAACAATATTTTGGCTGTGTAACAGTTCTCACAGTGAGACAGATTAAAACTTGGTGTTTACACATTAAAGGGAATTGTTGCTTCAGTACCACTTGCAGTGAAACTTGGGGAAGAGGGCTGGACATAATATACACAACTGATCAATGTTTTGTACTTTATTCTTCAAAACCTAATATGCATACTTCAGAGTGACCAAGGCTGTGCAGAACAAACAAGTGATCCATTTTGCTTCCACTACAGGAGATGAAGGGAGAGGGGGGAGCAGGCAGAGAAAGAAAGAACAATGCCCCCAAAATAAAATAAATAAATAATTTTAAATACCCACCAAAAAAACCCCACACAACCAAAAAACAGGGCAATCCAATTGCCATGAGGCATTCCATAAAGTTTAATACAGATCATGAAAGGTGAGAAAACATCATAAGATTTTTTTAAATAAAGCCAAAATCAGTTTTTTGACAAGCAACATTTGGAAGACATTTTTAGTAGAAGCTATATGCTGAGGATGCAAAATGATACAAACAGCAAATAAGAAAACTTTTCACATAAACTATTTGAAATATACATAAAGACAACAACTCAGAAACTAGGAAGTACTAGCCCATAGAAAAATTCCTGCTCTAAAAAAAAATTTACAAGTTATTTCCCTCTTTCAGAGGAAATGGGCTACAGACTAATATTTATTTTTCCTGAAAAATACTTAATGTACAGACAACCTGGAGCAGTTTAGCAGTTTCTCAAGATGACTCAGAGTAGAAAAAGTTAAATCGTTATTACTAGCTCTGTCTGAAAGGCTGAGGAACAGCTCAGCACAACAGAAAGTAATCATCATGACTGCATTCAACTTTTCTAAAGTGTGAGTACGTTCACTATGTAAGACAGATGGACGACATGAGCCACAACACCTTGCATTTGCTGTTCTGAACTGTATTGATCAAGATGAAATTGAATCTACTGAATACTCAAATAATTCAAAACTACATCATTCAGTGCAGGAAATATACGCTCTACCTAACCCAACTAAAATGCAAGAAACATCAACATGGAACACATTATTCCTTTGATCTGACCAACCAAATCTACATTCTACTGGGTATGTCTTGACATTACTTAGTAACTTGTCTTCTCCAATGCAGAGGTTCTAATATCGTATTCATCTGCATGAGCAAAAAACCTCATTCGACTCTGCATTAGTAAAAAAGTTCTGATTTTTTATTTACTTTTCATGTTCCCAGCGTTATATGCTTTTTTAATGCTTTTTATCTTAAAATGCAATTAACACTCTCTGTAATATTTTAATAAGAATAATTTCAGAATGCCGTTACATATAGTATTACCAACTATCTGAAAAGGAAGCAAAAAAGTTACACTTTTTACTACAATATTTTAGTTACTGTTTCCCAAGCTGAATTGAAACTTGGAGTCTACAAGTGCTGTGATGAGCAGCGAAAGCTACAGACTCTTTAAAATTACACCAAAACGCCAAACGTCGCTGCAGATAACTTACCAGAAACCCTAGCCCTCTGCAGATAAAATTTGTAACAGATTCACACAGCCAAGTTCACACTACTGCACATGACTAATTTGGGACACCACAAAAATGAGTAATTTAAACCAGTTCACCAAAGCAAAGGTAATCGTCTGTTGTGCTAAGGCTCTGCATCACCATCACACTCACTCTCTTAAAAGCAACACTGAATCTAAAAGATCTCCTTGCTCTAAGAGTTAATGGCATGAACAGTGACTATTTCACCTGAAACTCAAGATATCCTTCCCTAATGAGTTCTACGAATTCAGGGATATCTTCCTGGTAAACTGAAGTTCGTTTTAAGAAAGAGCCTCTACACCTGCATGCCCTGCCTAATTATGAATCTATTCATCTTAGTATGAACTAAATGTCCCAGTAACTTCATCTGTATGCAGGACTAAGGGTCCAGGAATCTGTATGCAGGACTATGGATCCAAGAAATAAATTCTATTGTAATTATTTTTACCTTTAAAAGGAAAAGTAGTTGCTCACCTTAAAATTTATGGAAAACATGGAGCACGCAGCTACTGCCTCTCCTAAAACTACTCTGCCTACTGCTCTCCTACAGCATAGCGGAAACCAAACATTTATTCCATTTTTCCATATAATTAAGATAAAAATTTTTAGTGTGTGCCAGAAGAAAGAGATGAGATCTCAGCTATTTCAAAGTAGTAGATAAATTATTTCTAGAGTACACTTACTACTTCCTATGTCCCTATGCCCTACCCGAGGGCAGTACCTTTGTCCTGCATTACCCACAAGACTACTCTTTTGGAACAAGGCAGAACTTTGAAAAAAAACAAGAGAAAAAAGCAGCCAAACATGCTGGAAGAGTATTCCAAGTTTTGGTGGGAGCATCCAAAGAAGCAGCAGTATGAGATGGGTACTTTAAAGGGCAACTGTGGTTATTATACTGTTAAATTGTGGCAACTAGGCAGAGATTCTTGTCGTTCTACTGTTACACCAATGATTGTACATTTTTCAGTACCTAAAATTATTTTAGGATCATGATGAATCAGTGGGCAAAACAAAGATGTCTCAGTGATAAAACTCCTTATGTATATGGCTGGCAAAACCAACCTGAACTCCCCATTCAATAATTAGAGGACCCTGTGATTAATACCCATAGTGACAAAATGCATCAAAAATATAGCTTCCAATTTACCTGAACTGGTATCAGGGTCTAAAGACTTGAAAGCTAAAGTAAAAATCAATTAAAGCATTGCTTATTATTTTTTAAACTTCTAAATTATTATTCATTTTTCAAAACATGAACTTTAAATATTCAAAGACATAACATATTTTAGTAACAGACAGTTCATTTACCCCACTGTAAATCCTGTATCATATCACTAGCAATATACTCACATGTCCTCTGGTGTCCAATGAAGCAAGAGTTTTATTTTTCCAGAATCTTCTTTTCTTTTAGCTATTACCTGATAATAATTACATAAATCATAATTAAAACCAAATTTGCAGATTTTTTGCTCAAAAACTGTCCAGTTGAACATGAACAGCAACATTCACAAAAGGCAAACTGGTCTACTCTTTGAAAGTTGTATTAATTCTATATATAGCTAGACTGTACGTATCACTACTCAAGCATTCTTGGCAAGGTTTAATATTTTCCTTTAACATTTGTCTACTGAGTGGTCCTTACAAAAAAAAAAACCCACAAATAAACAAAAAAAAAACACAACCACAAAAGCATCCTGCAAGTATTATTCTTCCTTTTAAAACAGTTCAAATTTTTCAGCAGCTACTCCAAATGAGTTCTCTGAAGAACATACATTCCCCTACAAATCTGCTCGTCGTGCCACAAGACACCTATAGAAGATAAAAGAAACCAATGCAGCTTATAGTTTAATTATAGCATGGCACAAGAATAAAATCTTCTCTCACAAATGCTGTGAGATCTGGACACACTGTATGTGTAACTTCTTCGGTAACCTTTACTCATTCCTTTTCACTACCTAAACCAATCACTGAATGCGGCAACAGCAAAGGCTACTTGGAAGAACTCAAAGGCTTACAGAGGATGTTTAATACATATATACCAGGAACCCTTAACATTTGCTACTACTGCTATATGAATAACAAATCAAATGACATGTCAAAGACCTGTAAAATTTACAGAGTTTAAGCAGAACATATGTACTCCACTGGCAAGGTCCCAGACAAGAAGTGAGAATTCCTTTCTCATAGTTTCTCAAACTAGTTCACAGTAGACCAGCACACATAATACTCTCCCAGAAAATAAAGTTTTTAGGTGCAGGACCCTGAAGCTAGGCTCCCACCCTCAGCCAAGATGAAATCAGAAATACACATACGAAGTATAAAAAAAGAGAACTGTTCTTTCAGGTACAAATATATTCTTTAACACTGTCATTCTAAAGGTATCCCAAAAATTTACAGCATTCAGAAAAATGGAAAAGCCATTTGCTTCCCCTTCTACTGATTTACCCTCATCTTCTCCTTTACTACACGTCACAACACTTCATACAGATTTTCCTATTTGCTTCACACACCAATTCTCCCACCCTCTGCACCTCTGAGCACAAAATGCTTATTAAATCTTTGAAAGATTCTATACACAGCCACTGCAGATACTGTAAACTCCAAAAAGTTTACTAGAGAATCTTTAGAGCACAGAATATCATGCTAAATTAAACTTGGTCATGACATTTCAAGAAATTCACAAATTTGTTTGCAGTTTTATTTCTACCACTATGCAGTGATCCTCTAAACAAAAATGATGCAGAGAGAAGTGTCCATGGATTTAACAGCCAGATTATTAATAGAGATATATTTGAGAGATCGGAAGGTATCAACATGCTTGTAGACGAGAACTGGAATATTGAGTTTGCGTGGCAAGGTTTGGGTAGTGGGGGTTCTACAGGGGTGGCTTCTCTGAGAAGCTGCTAGAAGCTTCCCCTGTGTCCAACAGAGCCAATGCCAGCCAGCTCCAAGACGGACCTGCTGCCAGTCAAGGCTGAGCCCATCAGTGATGGCTGTAGCACCTCTGGGATAACATATTTAAGAAAGGGAAAAATTGCTGTGCAAGAACAGCCAGAAGAGAGGAGTGAGAATACGCAAGAGAAACAACCATGCAGACACCAAGGTCAGTCAAGAAGGGGGAAGAGGTGCTCCAGGTACCAGAGAGATTACCCTGTAGCCTGTGGTGAAGACCATGGTGAGGCAGGCTGTTCCCCTGCAGCCCATGGGGGTTAACACTGGAGCAGATATCCACCAGCAGCCCATGGAGGGCGCCATGCCAGAGCAGGTGGATGTGCCCAAAGAAGGCTGTGAGCCCGTGGAAAACCTGCGTTGGAGCAGGCTCCTGGCACGATCTGTGGCCCTGAGATAAAGGGAGCCCATGCTGGAGCAGGTTTGCTGGCAGGACTTGTGACCCTGTGGGGGACCCACGCTGGAACACTCTGTTCCTGAAGGATTACACCCTGTGGAAGGGCCCCACACTGGAGTGGTTTGTGAAGAACTGCAACATGTGAGAAGGGCCCACATTGGAAAAGTTCATGAAGGACTGTCTCCTGTGGGAGGGACCCCACGCTGGAGCAAGGGAAGAGCATGAGCAGGAAGGAGCAGCAAAGACAATGTTTGATGAACTGACTGCAACCCCCATTCCTCAGGGGGAAGGAGGTAGAGAAATCATGAGTGAAGTAGAGCCCGAGAAGAAGAGAGGGGTGGGGGGAAAGGTGTTTTAAGATTTGGTTTAATTTCCCATTACCCTACTCGGATTCGATTGCCAATAAATTAAATTAATTTCCTCCCAAGTCAAGTCTGTTTTGTCAGTGATGGCAATTGCTGAGTGACCTCTCCCTGTGCTTATCTCAACCCACGAGCCTTTCGTTATATTTTCTCTCCTCTGTCCAGCTGAGGAGGGGAGTAGTAAAGCAGCTTTGGTGGGCAGCTAGTGTCCAGCTGGCATCCAGCCAAGGTCAACCTACCACAGCGTTTGAGATACCAAGTTTCTAGAAAATACTGAAGCCTCACACTAACAGGTTATAAACCAAGTTGTCATGAGATATGGAAAGGGCCATCCAATGGCCTAAGGTTAGAAAAGCAATAAACTAAGTACAGTAATACACAGTTCTTTCAAAAGGAGGAGGTTGCCATTAGTTAGCCCCAGTTTTAGGATCTCTCATTTAATATGTATTCACAGTTCATCTGGAAATGGGATTAGAAGGCAGAGTGAGACAATCTGCTTTTGACATCCAGCAATTCAAGATAAACTGAAAGAATGCTCCCTGCAAGAACTGCATTAGGATGTCATAGTGGGATACTGTAGACAAATTACAGTAAAAATCCCTTTTTTTTGTAATCTCTGACAATTAGACAAAATTTAATTAAGTCTTGTATCAAAATACTATACAGTTCTTTAATTTAGGCATGCGAAACTTTGCTAGGACTTCTCATCTTAAGTCTCAAGCCATACCCAAAACAGGATACATCCTTTCGCTAAATTTGGAGCAGGGATGAAAACTCTGCCTTCTTTTTAAATAAAGATTTAGAAAACATTCCTCCAATCCCTTCCAACGTTAAGTTTCAGCCTTTGCCCAGAACCCAGCTGCTTCTTTTGCAAACTCGGTTTCTTTGCTGTAGACTGGAGCACCTGAGCCTGGAATCAAATAAAGATAACTCAAAGCTCGATTTACCGGGCAAATAAAACTCCAGTTCTCATCAGCTTTCCCCTTCAAAACCATAGATTTCTCTTGCACAGTCCAGTTCATTCTCAAATCAACCTTCAAGTTTTAAGGACATGCGTATGTTCTCTCACGTAATGCAAGCATCATGGATATCACATACTTAAAAGTTTACAGTGACATTTTAAAAAATGTTAGCATTTGGACACAGTAAACTAGCTACACGGATGTTGGAAGAAGTTATTCTCCACAAACTGCTCTTCATTCTATCTAAAACTTGAAGAACATGAACTAGGAAACCATACAAAATACACAAGTCACAGACACGTGTTACATCTAAGTATTAGTTAAAGCTGGGGTTGCTGTCCCTCTATTGCACGATCGATAGCACTGCTTTTACAGGGATTTACAGTATAATACACGGTGATTCCAGAACCTCAGATCTCTGAGAACCACACAATATCATCACCTGCATTCTCCAACAGGAAAAAAAAAAAAAGGTATAAACTAACATTAACAGTTTCTTGTTTTCAGGAATATGCAGTACAAAATTTAGGACTCTGTGGTCTTACCATCACCACACTGAAAAGAGGTATTTGTAAAAACTCAAAAAATGGAACACTGATGTGTAAAAGATTCAGGGTACAAAATTTAGGGCAACTCAAGTACTGCCTGAATTATACCACTGCAAGTACCATTCTCTTATTTTACAGCCCTCATAACATCCTCAAACAATCAGTGCTAAACTAAGGGCTTGAACCAGTTTTCACACACAGAGAAAAGTTTAATAGGAGAAGAAAGTAACTTTTAGCAGTAGAAAATTAAATAATTTTTTAATGAAAAAAGAGCTAATCATATGTAATACATGAGAGCTACAAAAGTTATAGCTAGGATGCTTTCGCATACAGAGATATACTTGTACTCAATGTGAGTTTTGCAGACTTTTTCCCCATATAATTGGCTTCTCTTGTCCCTACTAAATAATCAATACTCAAAATCTGAGCAATTCACTTGCCTTTGACTGAAATGAAAGATCCTCTCTCTATATATGGAACAAGCCTATTTTGGCTTAATATTGAAGCAGTATGTTAGCTTTCTGTTAGGAGACAACAGCAATCTGCCATCTGTAGCTGCCATTGCTTTTTCCGACATATATTTTAAAGTTTTTAATTGAAAAATATAACTCAGCCAGTAGATGTATGCTCAATACAACCTTATTTGTAAAATCTCTTTCTATACTCTCTAAATTTCATGCACTGCCCCAGAAACAGAAAGGAAATTTAATTTTATCTCTGTGAAGGAAACATGAATCAAAGTTGTCTCAAATCAGAAATGGAGTTTTGCTGACCTCTTCTGGAAAAAGAAAAAAATTCACCCTATAAATTGGTACACATCTTACTTTATTCACTTACTGTGTTTCAAAGTTTTAAGACTGCAAAACACATGTAATTAGTATCAAGACAGGTGACCAATGAACTAAAATATCTAAAAAAGCTAAAAACAGTGAAGAACAGTTTAGTATTCAAATGTTTTAGAGAATTGATTCTAGCCATTTCAAAAAGCTGGGGGGGGTTTGGGGGGGGGAGGAGTGCGGAACAGGGACAGGACAGGGTAACCTATAAACTGCATTTTTTAATGCAGTTAGGTAAAATGGAAACACTTGACTTTTTCCATCTGACAATCAAGAGAATCAAAGTACCAAGAATTTGACTCCAATTAAAAAAACTAAGCAGAAAAAAAAATAATCATAATAAGGTGAAAGGTGAACTCTGGATGGCAAAAGCGTTTCTTCAAAAAGACCTTATTGATGACTGCATTCTACAGCTTTCCATATCTATAAAGAAAAGGATGAGTTTAAATAAAATATATATATTAAAATATAAATAAAAGGAGAGCCTTTTCATATGAAATGAAAGGTATCTACATATCTACAGTGACGGCTTAGAAATTCTTTACATTAGTAATTTTTCACTAGGATATCCATCCTGTAAAATACTGCATTGTGCTGACATTCTTATGCTGCATTAAAAAAAAGCCCTGCATCATTTATGTCAGTTTTCAGACAGCAAGACAATTTTATCTTCATATTTTTCACCTTTCAAATTAATGCCCCTGATAATTTCAGTTTTTCTTCATCTGAAGGTGGACCACACAAACAATATTACACTATTTAGCCTGTCACCATTCAAACTCAATGTCCTAATGCTTATTAGTTATGCAAAATGTATTTGCATCTGAGGTGACCATTAGCTCAGTATAACAGTGTACAAGACTGCTTCTATTTCGCCTTTTCTTTTTAAAGCAAATTTTAGGCTGAATCTCATCAATATAGCTGATGTCCAGCACAAACCCACACAACCACAGCAGCACACTAAAACAGGGTAGCAAAGTGCAGCACAGGGCTGGAATCTTAAAGCGGTTCTCCCACTGGCACAACCTCTTCCACATCAGAGGTCTAAGCAATTTCAGATCTAATCAACCCCCTACCATCGTGTGACGCATGCACGGATAAGCTAAAAGGATTTTCACCACTTCCGCCAAGTTAATTTGAAGCAGTTTTAGAGCACATTCCTTCCTCTAATTCCATCTCCTTATGAATTATTCCAATAGCCAGAGGTGAGCTTCCACAACCGAGCAATCTGTCTGGGTAACCTTTCAGATTAAAGCAAGCTGTGAATTGGAAGAGAATCTGCTTTTCTTACAGCATTGTAAAAACCCATGTTGGCCAGGAAAACTAGAATGATATTTAAATACAGTAACAGCTAAGCCATCTGCAAATCTCCACTTCCAGCTGGTGCTCAATGCACATAAAGTTCAGGAGTAATCATTTAGGAAACATTTCTAATACAGGCCACAGATATTTATAACAATCATTAGCCTTGTAGAACAGAACAAAGTAAGTTTCCTGCATATAAAAATCATCTTTTTTTTATGGAAAGAAACTGATCAGTTGTTTGAATCATGCATTCAGGTTAAGCCATAGCTGAAGACACAGCAGTCAGCATTCCTTCCTTGGACTGCAGTTCATCTTGCACCAGTCTGCCAATTTAAAAAGCATGTCCTGCCCTCATTTTGTCCCATCTCTTAATTCTTTTATTAAAGAATCAGTCTCTAGCTTTTATGTGCCTATCTCCCAATTTGGTTAACAAAACCACAGGTCATATAGCTTTTTGAACTTCTGATCCGTATACCCCAGTTCAGTACTTTTTCCCCCCTTTCTGAACGTTTCCGAATTAATACTGATGCCTATCCTATCCAAACACAAGTGAAATTAGCAAAATAGGATATGAAAACAGGACTAAAGGCCAGTTCCCCACCTGGTACTTGCCTCTTTCTAGCAATTCACTGACATTTTAGTGGTAAGTTTATTAAAAGAAAAAAAAAAAAAAAAGAGGCAGGGACAAAAAAACATTTATTCAGGATTATATTTTCTAAACTAAAAAAGAAAAAAAAAAGGAATAAACACAGATTTCAGATCAGCACCTTTAAAAAATCTCAATTATACAGTTACTCTCAAAATTCCTTGTGATAACTTAGGACTACCGCTCACAACTATGGAAACGGCATCTGAATTGCATTCTTATTTAGAAGACTTAACCAATTTTTTATACAATGCATACTTGCTGTTAGATATTTCCCCAAGTGTATCAGACAGGAAAGGTTGCAAGCTATTCAATTTGTGAGCTAGAACAACTACTAACACTACTTTTTAAAAGTTAATTTACTAATAAAAATGGACAAATTAACAATGTAAAATACCCACTGTTACTTATTTCTGATTAATTGCCTACAGCAGTAAGAGGAACACAGAAATCTTTCTGAACTATTAGATTTTTCAGACATATAGGTAAACAAACACAATGCAGAAAATATAGATATACACTTACGGTACTATGAAATACAACACTGTGGCCTTTTCCTAAACTTTCTATATGTGCTGAGAGGTTAAAGCAGATGGCTCGATGTCTTATAGCATCCAGTGTTTGCGCATCAAAGAAGTCATGAGGTCTTGCTAGAAAAAAAAAAGGAAGAGATCTCCTTAGTGTCCAACACATTAAGAGCATTCAAACACATTCAAGCATAAATAAGTCTGAAATGTCATTAGTAAATCAGTTATTGTTATGGCAGTAGCATTACTTTGTTAAAGAGTTCTAAACGTTAATTTAACTGAGAGGAAGAAACAACTCTAAGAGGGGCACAATTCATTTACGTTTGGTCAAAACATACTCCTTGTAGATAATACAGCTATTTTGACAAACTGAATTACATGTGTTCTTTTTTTTTTTTTTAAGTTTCCAGTGAATTCTACTCTTTCTTAATCTTCAGAATTAAGAATTCATTAATTTTGCTGAGTACCCCTGGGAACATTCATTGCTGTCATCTCTTAGGGAAAAAAAAAAAAGGAAAAGAAGTCCCAGCACAAAGAAACTAAACCCAGAACTCATTAATAAATGTGAGTTCTAATTTAATGGAAAAACAGCTCAGGTTGTGATGTTTATGGGAACCTAACTGGCCAAGTCATCCTTACAGCACAGTCAATAGTTCCATTATTACTGATGTGACTTTTTAAAAAATAGTATTAAAGTACTTCAAAACATGATAGTGCATACAATTAACATCTAAAAAGCAGAATTACACCTATGCCTTATTTCTTAACTTTATTAAAAACAATCTGCTCAGATCTAATTTATAATCACTAAAAAAACCCCAGCTATTTCCAGTGAATACTTGTGTGCTGCTAAGAGATCAACAATGGCACTGAAAACAAAACTGCTTGTTACTGCAGTGGAACACAAAGCAAAGGATTACAAAAGAATTATTGTAAACATACAGAAAATACAAGCTCAGCACGGAATTTTTGATCTCTAAGGAGCAATAATACTGAATAGTCAGTCACATGAAAAATTCCACACTGCTATACATGTTTCTTTCTATATACAAGTTGTCATTCCATGTTTTTTGATTATTAGTAAACAGATTATCTTCTAGCCAAGAAGCACTAACTGCATCACATACTACACGTCAATTTATAATGAGTAAAGTGCAATTAACACCCATCTGATATCGTACAAGTAGTCTACAACCAGCAGCCACTAATAAAGACCTTTTCCTTTTAGAAAAGGACTTTTGTAGTGAAGTGTTTCTTGAACAGTAAAAAATTCCTAAGTTCTGGAGTGTAAAGAAGGCCTACCAATTCTACACTAAAAGTATTGTAACTGAAAAATAAGTGCTACTAGGGACATATTTGCATACTGTTAGAAATACTTCACATAATTTTTTAAAAAATATACCATACAGTACAGTAGTAAAATTACATAAGCAAATACAGCATGAATGAAAGCACTCAGATTTTAAACCTTATTTGAGAGCAGTAATACTCTATATAACACACTAAAACTAACTGATATTACATTAGCAACTATATATCATCCTGTAATCTGCAAAAACAGTGATTTGAAGTTCTTTTGTCTTCTTTTAAAACAACTTTGATATTCCTTTTGACCAAGATTATCTACCCATTATTTCAAAACAAACCACAAAATCCACTTAAAGCTAGTTTTGCTACACTCCTGGGACTAACTGTTGTTAAGCATTCATCTGTACATTATGTTCTGTCCTTACTCTATCTCAGTTGGATACTCCCAATTAGGCAATCATCTCACTGAAATGTTTTCTCGCTGTAAGTGGTAACATAGAACCACAACTTATGCTGCAGGTGGTCAGTGATGCAAGCATATAAGTATTTTATAAATAACTGAAGGAGGAAGGGAGGGTGGAAGGGAAAAGACAGCCCCAAATTTTTGCTTTTGGTTTCATACAGCAAAATTCTTTGGGATATACCAGTGGGTAACATTCAACAGATGCAGAAGAAAAGGCACAATTTGTCAAAGGCATATGAATAGTTTTACTTACTCCTTATTCAGTTTTAATCCTATATCTTAAACCTATTCTCTCAAAACTATCTTCAGAGTACCATATCTCCCTTCTTGCTTAATACAAGTTCCAAGTACACATCAGTTACTTAAGTCAAATGAATTAAGATCTTCATACCTGTAGCCTACTAAATGAAATTCCAAGTCTTAGGTGGCTAACATAGTATTACTTTAAGTTTCATGAAAAGTAAGGTGTCTTATCTCACCTACATTTCTCCAGTGAACTCAATTATCATGCTTATTAATAACTACAGTGTCATCTTTGCTACTGGAAAAGCAAGTGACAATATTGTAAATATAATCTTAAATTCCACAAAATTCTTTGAGGCAGCTTCAGAATAGCAGTACTATGACCTATTTTAGAAATACGTGTTTTCAATGTTTGGATCTATACCTCTAAATGACAGGCTACGTGGAGCAGTGAACGTGTATAAGACTAGCCAGAAGAGTGCTGCTACTGCCTGTAATCCTGAATTATTCTGCAATATCAAAATTTATATGACAAATCAGACTGTCTCTGTAGCACCACTCATGCAACCAGTTATAAGGGTGTCTATGGTAAAACACGCTTTCATCATAAAAGTACTAATTTCCAAACTTACAAGAACACATACTGTTTACAGACAGCAAAAAAGAAATGCAAAACCATTTAAGAACAGCAAGATGTTACTCATGAAAAAAAATTATTAAGAATTTTCTTTATAGCCCAAGTGAGAAGATCATATTCTTGTCACATATAAAGCCACAGCAAAATCTCCTTTTTTTATTTATGCATTAATGTCTCTCACATGGGTGATCACCTTCAGATGTAAAACACAGAGGAAGCGAAGTCATTTATTTGCTATATTTAAACTATTAAGAATTTATACACAAGGATGCTTCAATAGCGGCACGTATTAGCAAGCAATTGCCAGTAAATATTTAGTAAAGCCTCTTACACCTTGCAAAAAAAGCCAGGGTCTAATCAAACCATGAGGAGGGAGAAAGAACATGTCAACATTTTTGCAGGAGAAAAATTGTTTTGTGACGCAAAACTGTAATTTTTCATCAAGGGATTATTTGTGAGTGATTTAAACAGACTACACTATAAAACAGCATCTTGCTTTACACACACATGTCATAACTTCTTGTAACCCAACTTGCAGAGAACCTGGTACTTATGTTCAACAGATCTCCTTTTGGACACTTAAAATATCTAACTATAAAACTACATTCCTAGCTTTATATGCTCTAGACTGAAAATATTTAAGTGTTGTTATTTTGTTACTTTGGTTTGTTAGATAAGTGTCCCTGACCTCCTCCATTCTTCTTGTAAAGACAAAATATACAAACTCACACACTTCATTCTTTATCCAAAACTAAGCTAAGAAACAGAAAGACAAGCAAAATTGTATCAGCCCTTTGTCAAGTTCAACTGATCAACAAAAATCCGCACAAAGTTTTAAAGAAAAGCTTCCTAGCATTTTCAGAAAATGCCATCAACTTTGGATACGTTTCTGGGTCACATACCCTCTGGAGAAATACACTACAGTAGTCACTTCCCAACTCAGAGATGACTTTTGCCTCAAGGCAAAACTCTACAGCCAGCATTGCATTTGTCTCAAGAGGCATGAAGATAAAAAATTGCTCAAGCAGCTGTCATTTTTCTTCCTGCGCAACACTTGATCAAGACAGCAGACCATTCAAGTACTACAGTCTGGTCTTTAACATTCTCATAATATTTACTACTTACATTTTTTGCCACAGATTCATTCAAGAATTCTGCAGTAAATTCTTACTACGACTAGAACATCTTAGCAGATAATGTGAAGTTTTAACTATGAAGCCTTGATTTGAAATGTGTAAGTCAATAACGTTCATCAATTGCTAATAAAATGCCAACTTTAAAAACTACTGCATCTACTGGGGAGTGGGGAAAAATCAAATTAAGATGCATTAAATCAGCCACCTAACAAAATCAATATGGAGAAGGAAGCTAAGCTGCAACCCAGGAATCTCTGAAAGTGAAAATTTTGAAGGGACCAGTCTTAGACATCAATATTTTGCTTGAGTAACTCAGTCAACAAATTAAGATAATCCTTTAGGAACCTGCAGCTATTTCAAGTAAGCCTCTCTTTCATTACATTTAAGATGATCTAAAAGGATACTGCAAAGTGATCACATAACCCTTCATTGATCAGTCTTCCCATCCTGAACCTTCTCATTAACATAGATTGCTAGAGTGAAAGGGAAGGCTCTTTGAAAGTCAAATTCTGGAAAGAACAGAAGCAGTTTTCTACCTTCTTTGAATGTTGAATCAGTGTCGAAATGAGAGGAATTTTTTAATTTTACACTTTTAAGATATGTAGGCAAATTATATCATTAAACATATTTTAAGAATACCCAACCATTTCCAAAAAAATTAAAAGGAAAAAAGAAAATCACCATAACTAAAGTTAACAGTGGCTCTTCTAGCACTGAACTGCATAGCTGTCACACAGTATGGAAGAGAGACATAGGAGATAAACTTTTCAGAATTCTAGGTGACACTGTGACTTTCCAGGACAGGCTTCTTTGCATTCAAGGCAGAAACATGACCGCTGCTTCATAATTTTCAGTTGCTTAAAGCACAGGTGAGGTATTAAGAATAGTCAAAATCATGTGATACATAGTAATCACCTAAGACCATTAGCATGCCGTCCATTGTTGCAGTACTATTTCAATAACTGGTAACTATATTTCTTCATAGGAACAGAAAGATCAATACAGCCACAGAAGAGGTTCTGGAAAAAAGTAAGACTGTAATTGCTGACCCAGCGAAGTAACATAGGTTCTCTGGCACACCATCACTAAAATTCTTCTCCAGCTAGGAGACAGGACTGAAATAATTGCCTGCCTATGAACAGAGTGCCACTTCTGTGGACAGTATGAGATATAACAGGTCCAGTGGTTCATAAAAAAGGTATTTTGCACTTCTCTCCAATACTGCAATGCTGACTTTACACCACAGGTAAAAATTAATGGAAGCTTTTTCTTCAGCTGTGTGGTGACACACCAACAGGAAAAAATATAAATGGGTTTTTACATGTCTCTAAAACGCAACTGTCACAGTAACCGTTTAAAATTAGTAAATAATCAGTTCAGTACTGGAGAGTTGCATCCAATTCTAAAACAAAGTTAAATTTTTTTAAGCAATTGCCTACTCTTTCCTAACCATTTTTGTACATTAGAATCTCTAAATGAATTCAACATGGTTATTAGTCTGATGCTAGGAAAACTCTGGAATCAAACAACTGGATCAAAAATGGACTACAAAAGGTACTGGCTAAGTGATTATTACTTGCTAGAGGAAACAATTCTCACTTTAAAATACAAATCACACTTCTCAGCACGTTGGTTCAGATAAAATTAACAAACATCGATTGTGTGGAGAAAGATTAAAAAAATGTAGCAAGTCACATCTGCCCAAAATTAGATCTTGGTTATGATCATAAAACTGTCATTAAGCTAATGAAATGTTGTGCTTGAAAGACAGCTTATATAATACGCATTTATCTCTAATTTATATGAATCTGCAATCTCTGTCTGCAGTACTGAACTTCAGATCCCATCATCGCTAAACAGAACATTTTCCAACAGTAATATAGTTAGTAAACAAAAAGTGACTCTAAAATGAAAAGCATCTTTAAATTGTAAGCTCAAACTGTTGCTCACAGAAAACTGATCTTTCCTACTGAACACATAGATGTTTTACCCTAAAAGCGATCATAAACAGAATCTGGAACTGTTTTCCTCCTATCACAAGGCATGCCAACATTAAAACGCTAAAGATCACCAACCATACCGGACCCACATCTGCAGAGAAACAACCACGTTGAAGAGGAACTTCCTATCTAAAACAAAACTTTCAGGAACTTCTAATTCTGCAAATGCTTACGTAATGATCGTCGTCTCTTGTTCTTTAACTTTCTTCTTTTATTCATTCCAGCTTTAGATGGAGATTCCTCTTTGGCCTTTGGCTGACTGGCAACTTTTGAAGAGTTCTGCTGGCTGAAGTGTGTGGGCACATGACGGGCAAGTCCTCCCTGAGATGCAAAGCTGGCATTGCATCCACCAACTACACACTAATGAAAAAAAAACCAGAACAAAACTGCATCAGCATGCTATGTGTCACTCATTCACAGCAGTATGATAGATCTTTCAGTTTGACTTTTCTGGCTGAACCTCCAAAACACTTAAAGGAAGAAAAATTCTTAAAAATAAGAACAGAAACATAATCTGAAATAAATTTCTATCTGAACTTTATAACTCTCGGTAATTATTCCATGGTATAATATTTTTTTCCTATGCTATGTTATACTCTATAATATTGTATAGCATAACACAAATCTCAAACAATGCACTGATAAACTCTTCCCCCCGAAATAAATGCTTCTGAAGAACTTTCCCCTTCACAGACCAACATCCCCTTGTTTTTAAAAAAACTGCAATGTTATTCTGTATTTCTCAACAGGTCTCCAATCTTCTGCAGTTGATAACAGTAAGGTTTTCTAACATCCTCTTTTCTTGTGGCAAGGCACAAGTAAAAAAATACACCCTTACCCACATTCAATTTGAAACAGCTTAACGCTTTTTGTAAATGCTATACAACGTCAATAAACAGTTATCTTACAGTTCTGTCTAAAACTTTAACTTCAGTAACTTGAAATGCTAATATTTACTTCAGAAGTATTTAAAAAGTTCTTTAAAGAAAATAGTCTCTTTCTCAAACAGAAAATAAAAGATTCAACAATAATTAAGCAGAAATACAGAGATCTTAAGATACATGCAACTAAGCCAGTACTGGCTACAATAATTATTGGTATTTTTATAAGTATTTGGTCTATATTTACAATTATTTCCATTTGCAAAATGAGTATTTAAACTATCCTGTTGGGGAGGGAGGCACAAACCTTTTCTCTTGTGCTCTGAGCTTACAAGGGTAATAGACAAGTAATTTTAGATATGCATGTCATAACTGGCTGCAATGAATGAAGTATACAGTATACTGTATACAGTATCCATGTGGTTGATTTTTCTTCTGATCCAGAGAATAGTAGCAGGGTAAATGAGTGGATCAGCCCGTAACAAAAAAACAATCCCCACTCTAAACCACTGGAAAATTCTCCTTCTTCCACACCTGTTCTGCTCCTCCCTCTCCTTCCCCTCTTTCTCAGTTCTTTCTTCTGTACCTCTCTTCTCTAGCACTTCCCTTCACCGCAAACTGATGAGGCAGCTCCAACAGGACTTCAGGAATAAGTAACACTGCAACTATGTACATAGTGCTAAGTTTTCTCTGAAGGCCAAGGATGAATTGGCAAATAATCTTCCCCAAGCCTGCACATTTGATTGAAAGACAATAAAACAGCAGCAAAAACACTAGTCAGCATGTTTTGTCCCTAAAACCCACCTGTGTTGTTTTCCAACTGTGGCTGCAGAATTGGAAAGTGTATTTCTGCCTCAGAGCTAGCAAATGGTTTTCCATGATCATCACAAAACTATATAGTGTCCATGAAGAGAAAAACCTGTTTTATCCCCAAGGACTTAATACTTCATAGGACTGAAGATCCGTATATATATTTCAAAACAGTAAAAGATGAAACATAGGAGGACATCTGTCACATTTTTATTTGCTTTTTTTTTTTTTTAAGGAAAAAACTTAGAGGAAGTTAGGGCTTTCTTGTTTGTTTTTTTGTGGGGTGTGTGTTTGTTTGTTTTTTAAGTACTGAGCTAACTACTAACATGTAATTCCCTGACAAAAAGCTTTAGGATCCTTCACACTGTATTTGTTCCTCTGTGTCTCCCCCACTAATAAGTATCTTAAGAATTGTGAAGATTTTTACCAAAAACCTACATACGCCTTTTTACAATGCCCTATAATTTCCCATGTTCAAACAACAGCAATACTGTATACTTCTATTGCAGTGACTTGCAAGAAATCCCAGCACATCTATGAAATTCAAAACACTCAAGATCCTGATCTCATTTATACTACACTAACCTCAATGCAATATTTATTACTTCAAATTAATACTAAAGATTAAAATTTACTCTTACAGAATCATAGACTGGTTTGGGTTGGAAGGGACCTTTAAAAACTATCCAGTTCCAACCTCCCTACCATGGGACATCATCTACTAGATTAGGTTGCCCAAAGCCCCATCCAACCTGACCTTGAACCTGACCCACTTAATTGTATTAAAGATGACCAAACGCAATCAGATACAGGTAAAATACATGCCTGCAATGTTCAAGCAATCTTCTGTTCTCCAGTTTTTAAGCCTTTGAAATAGCTGTCTTGCCCATGAAAGCAGTTTCATGAAACTAAACTAAGCAACTAAATCTAAACTTACGTTTAATTTTCATTAAAGTGCTCCTCACTTCAGCTTCTAGCTCTTTCTGATCCTACAAACACTGACAGAAAAAAAAAAAAAAAAGAAGCACAACACCCCACACCCCCCCCCATACCCTGAAGTTCAATCACACTGAGAAATTGAGATTTCAGTCTTGCCAATGCCTGCTAGAGGTCAAAAATAACCTGAAGTACAGTGCATGCATTACCATATTCCAAGTTTATTAAAGTATAATACCAAAGGCAATACCTTCTGAAAATAACACATAAGCTTTGTGTCAGGCATATTTCTAAAACTTTTTAGAACACAACTTCATAAGACTTAATTGTATTTCTTGTCAGTTGGGAAACATTGTTTTATGACAAACTGCAGTTTGACTCAAAATGTCGTAACTTTACTTTTGTCTACTTGTGTACAAAGAAAACAAACACAGATATTCTATACATATTATCTACAGAAGCTGCCACTTACTTTTCTTGCTCTACCCAACTTTTACTTTTAAAAGCCTCAAACCAGCATCCTTAAATCTTCAATATATGCAACTTGCAACTAGAAATTCTCTTCTTCCAGAAAGCCTATTTATAGTCTGCAGCCACAGTATGAAATATTTGCAGAAATCATTACATTCAGATATTGTGTAGTTTGAGACTACCTGATCATGTCATCAAATAACAGCTGATCTATGAAAGATGACACAGAATGCCTTTGCAGTAGACAGGAAATAGTAGAAGAGGAGAAAAATCTTACCTGTTTTTTTCTTTTTTTTCTCTAAAATAATATATCCAGCAATCCGTTACTAATGTGTAAAGTCTCTTCTCTCCAAAGATAAAAGGAGCAGTTCAGGCTGTCACTTCAGGATCTCTGGACGGTAAGTCACACCAAATCAGCTTCCCACCAGATAATTATACAGATCTAGACGGCTTCTAATAAATCAAACTCAACTATTATGCACAACTTTAAACCGATCTCTTCATTTTTTCCCCCAAAACCTAAATCTCAAAATTTTGCATTCAATTTTAAATATGGTAAATTGGGTCCGGATTGGTGGATATGTTACTTCAAGAGAAAATAAGTCAACACATAAGAAGTTTAAATTCTCCAGTGTACCCATACCCACCATTATTAATGGGCAGTAACGACCAATGACTTTAACAAACAGGATATAAAAATATCTAGCAATACAGGTTTTTTTCTATATTCAAAATACCAAATCTGCTTTTTAGAATATTCAATCTGTAGTTTTTCCAATAAATCTAACATTAGTATTTTAGACATCTCGATAAACCTTCTTATTGTCTCAATACCTCAGTGTTCAGGCAGAATGCCTTTATATTTTCTATCTGCATCTGCAATGCTCTAATGGATAGAAGATATTCTGCCAAGAGAGTAACAGGCATGAATTCCAAATGAGGACTGAAACTGCTTGGCTGTATTTTCTAGATTTCAACAAGCGTCACTCTACTGAGAGTAATACCAAATGCAGTTACCCCTTAATGAATTCTTGAAGTTACAGGTGGTAGACTGAGCACCAAATTTCATTTTTATTATTACTTTCTTCCCCCCTTTAAACAAAAGATGAAAGCCGCCAATGCACCTGTGTACTGTCATTCATTGTTATTGAAAGCATTTACCTGACATGACCAAACCTTCCATGACTGACCTTAAACACTAAAAGCATACCCACTGGAATCAGTATGTGAAAGCAGCTGGTAGCATATCCACATGCAGTCTTGTATTTACAGAACATTGCTATATGCGATAATTTTGCATAAAATCTCCCACTGTTTTGTGCTCACTCTACCATTTGTCCTTTTACTGTGCCTAACATCTTGTATTTTGTTATCTAGACTACATTTTAAGAGTTCATTTGATATGCCTTCAAGTAACTTTCAATGCCTTGTACAGCAAGAAGCCATTGCGCGTAGTACTTTGATTATTTTTTTTTTTTTAATTTTTTTTGAGTATCAGAAACCATGCTGGAAAACGCAGGTTGTCACAGCACATTAACTGTTCAAATACTTATTTGTAAGTCAAGTTTAGGACAAGTAAGATAGAATTTCTTCGTTCACTTTTTCTCAGCTTGTCAAAGACAGTTACCAGCATCGGTTTTCTAACTCAGCAGATTATTCCTCTAGATACACCTGTCTACATGTTCTGAAAGTTTTTAAATTACTGAACCCTCAACAGGACCACCACTACATGTTGATGATACTCCACAACACTCCACCCGTTTCTAAAAAGCTGCAAAAATTATGTAATAACAGAACTAAAAAAGAATAAATGTTCAGGTTTTTCTCTGTCAACTCTGAACGTAACATCATACACAAACATACTAAATGTCTTCAGAGAAACAATTACATGCTCTGAGAATACCTATATTAAATGAGGCCAGCCCTCAGGAGTCCCAAACTTTGCAGATAACAGAGAAAGTCTGGAAGAAGGAAGGCTTTCCCTTGGTCGAAGAGGAACAAGTTAGAGATCGATTAAGTAAACTGGATATCCCCAAGTGCATGGGCCCTGATAGGATGCACCCGCAAGTGCTGAGGGAGCTGGCAGAAGTCATTGCTGAGCCACTCTCCATCAACTTTGAAAGGTCCTGGAGAACAGGCGAGGTGCCTGAGGACTGAAGGAAAGCCAATGTCACTCCAGTCTTCAAAAAGGGCAAGGAAGACCCAGGAAACTACAGGCCAGTCAGCCTCACCTCCACATCCCTGGAAAGATGATGCAACAGC